AAAAAATTTATTTTTATTAAATTTTAATTAAAAAAATTTAATTTATTATTAAATTTAATAAAAAAAAAATACATTAAATTATAATTAAATTCAAGTTATAATTTAATTGATTTGTTATAAATATTGACATTATTTGCCTCTGTAAGTGTTAAAAACATTCTTTGTTATATAAAACATTATTGTTTTAATATATTATTGTTCTGTATTTTTTTTTAAATTCTACGCAGTATTTCTTATAGAAATATAAGATAATACTATAGAAAAGTATATTTATAATTTTCATATTATAATTCGCCCCTTATTACGTAATTCTTGTTTCCATTGATATTTCTGTAAATGCGCCTTTTATCAAATCAACACGGATAATAATTATAACGGTTAACAATGGAAAATTTATATTTAACATGATATAATACACAATAGTAGATTACGAAAATATTGAAAATATAAATTATAAACATTGAGGAATATAAATGAGAAGTAAATAAAAATACTGACAATTTTGTCAATATATATACGATTTTGCTATAAACTGAAAATAAATTTTTTTTTTCATTTATACAAGTTAAAAATCCAAAGTACTTTATTATGAAAAAAAATATAAATATATAAAAAATGTATACATAAAATAAGGAATTAAATTTTTTTTATTAAATGGTAATATATTTTGTTTTTTAAAATTTTTCTATTCAATTTTCCGTATGAATTTTTAATAATATTTTGAGATTGGATGAAATAAAATAGTTTTTTTGTTATTAAATAAAAATATTATTTAACAAAATTTAATTTTGTTTGCTAGATAAAATTTTGATTTTTTTTTACTACAATAATTCCGTTTATTCAATTGTTATTAAATATTTTGTTGTTGGAACAAATAAATTTTTTTTTGGTAAATAAAATATTAATTAACAAAAAAGTAAGAAATTAATTTGTTGTTAAATAAAATTTGGTTCTTTAAAAGTTTCTCTAAAATTCCGTTTGTTGAATTTTTTATTAATTTTTGTTAATGGATCAAATAAAATTTGTTTTTTAGTTTTTAATTAAAATACTTAATTAACAAAAATGTAACAAATTTGAAATTTGCACTCAGAGAAATGATATATTTGTCTCCGAGCCTACTAACTTATTTATTTATTGCAAATATATTTTATTTCATTAAAATAAAAAATTTATTTGAGCCAAAGAAAAATTTATTTCTGACAAATAAAATTTTTATTTACGCCAAATAAATAAGTTAGTAGGCTCTGAGACAAATATACGTTTATTTAACTCAAATATATTTTATTTGGTTCAAATAAATCATTTCTCTGGGTGTGTTGTTAAATTTTGTTCTTTTTAAATTTTCTCCACAATTGAAGAGGATTTAGAATTTTTGTCATTAGGGTCCTTGAAATAATAAATAATAAAAAATATTAATAAAAAATAAAAATAAATAATAATAAAATTATTGTTTTGTTTCTATTCTGTTTGTTGAATTTTTGATTAAAATAATATTTTATTGTTGGATCAAATAAAATTAATTTTTAAATAAAATATTAAAATAAACAGAATTGTGGTGAATTTTTTGAAAGATCAAAAATTACACAAACTTTATGTAGAAAATGTTTTATTATTATTTTACAGCAAATTTTAGCTCAATTTTTTATTGTATAATACACTCAGAAAAAAATTCGTTTGAAGCAACCAAATTTTGGTTAAATCAACAAAATAAATGCATTGATATACACTCAGAGAAATGGTATATTTGTCTCCGAGCCTACTAACTCATTTATTTGTTGCAAATATATTTTATTTCATTTAAATAAAAAATTTATTTGACCCAAAGAAAAATTTATTTATGACAAATAAAATTTTTATTTACGTCAAATAAATAAGTTAATAGGCTCTGAGACAAATATTTGTTTATTTAATTCAAATATATTTTATTTGATTCAAATAAATCATTTCTCTGGGTGTACAGTTAACCAAACATTTGGTTGCATAAACCAAACGTTTATTTAGCTCAATCAAATTTTTTCTTTGTTCAAAAAATTTATTAAAATAAACCAAACAGTTATTTAGATCAAATAAATATTTCTTTGAATTAAACAAATTTTGTTTGAACTAACCAAAAAATTGGGTGAATATAAAAAAATGGTACATTTGGTTCAAACATATCTTTTTTCTGAGTGTAAGGATCTTTGAAAATTTATTAAAATTAATTTTAATTGTGACCAAACTAATTTTCAGTTTGAGGTTATGTCAAAGGGATTGAACCGTCTTAAAGTTATTCATACACCCATAGAGAAATTATATATTTGCGTCCCACAATCTAATAAATATTTATTTGATTCAAATAAATTTTTATTTGATTTAAATAAATTTTTATTTGATTTAAATAAAAAATTTTATTTACGCCAAATAAATAGGCCAGCAGGCTGTGTGACAAATAATATACGTTTTTTTAACTCAAATATATTATATTTGGTTCAAATAAAACATTTTTCAGGGTGTAAAAGATGGAGTTTGTATTTTTTTTTCTAATAACCTAAAATGAATAATTGCCCATAAGTATATTTCTGGTAAGATTTCTAAAAGACTCTTCCATTATTAAATGCTCGTGAGGCAATCGAATGATTCTATATATCTATATACATATATATATATATATATATGGAAGCTAAAGGGCCGGCACGCGCTTTCTAAAATTATTGTGAGTCAAGCCAGGGGAATTATGGGGTAGGGGTTGTATCAAAGAGGGTGGGGTGTGTCTAGGGTTGAAGAGGAGGACAAAAAAAAGGGAATGAAGAGTGATAAAGAGTGTGTAAGAAAATAGTAGGTTCGAAGGGTTTGAGGAGGGGAGGGGAGTGTATATATAAGGGAGATAGGAGAGGAAGGTTTTAGGAGTGAAAGAGCATATATATATATATATATAAATATCGGGAGTAGGGAGAATGAGGGGAACACGAAAGGGGACCCAACGAAAACCGGAAACTGTATACAGAAATAGAGACGACTCAAGGTTTTTCCCTTCACCAGATATATGGCAAACCCCTTTCGAATTCAAAATTCTTCAGTGTGCCTATATATACTAGGAGCTTTCAAAAAATGCCCTATGCACTTGAATAGCTCGGGAGATTTTCAAGGTTTTTGATGGAATGATAAGAGGGTGTATTAAAACTCCTGACATTTTGAATTTTATTATTCACTTTTTTATTTTTGCAGACTGCATAAAATTTTGTATGATAATTAGATAAATAACAAATATATGTTATTTATTTATTAATTTAATTAATTAACAAAAAAAAATTTAATTTTTCACTCTTTAAACTTGAATTAGTCAAATTTTTTAATAATTTGAATTACTGATTTGCTTTTTGCTACTGAATTAGTAAAATTTTGCTAATTCCTAGTAAGAAAACTTTTTTTTTTTTGCTTTTGAATTAGTCAAATTTTACTAATAAATAGTAAGAAAAAATTTTTTACAGTCGAATTAGTAAAATTTAAACTAATTGCTAGTAAGAAAATTTTTTTTTGCTTTTGAATTAATAAAACTTAACTAATAGTAAGAAATTTTTTTTTTACTATCGAATTAATAAAATTTAAGTAATAAATAGTAAAAAAAATTTGTTTACTATAATTAATAGTTAAAAAAACTACTTCGATACTAAAAAAAATTATTTTTTTACTACTAATTAGTTAAATTTTACTTTTAAAAAATTTAATTAATAAATAGTAAAAAATTTTTACTATCGAATTAGTAAAATTTAACTAATTAAAAGTAAACAAAAACTAATTCGTTACTACAAAAAACTATTTTTTTTTACTATTAATTAGTTTAATTTTACTAATACGAAAGCAACATTTTTTGTTTACTTATTAATTAAATTTTACTAATTCGATAGTAAAAATTTTTTTAATTTTTATTTAGCAGGAATTTAACTAATTAATAATAAAAAAAATTGTTGACTGTCGTATTAGTAAAAATTTAACTAATTAATAATAAATAAAAATTTTTTACTATAGAATTAGTAAAATTTAACTAATTCAGAAGCAAAAATTGGGTCACTAATTCAAATTAGTTTAAATTTTTACTAATTGAAAATTAAAAGAGTAACAAATAATATTTTTTAAAACTGTAACTTAGCTAAAAATTTTATAAATAAATAAAAAAAAAATATTAAAAAAAATTTGCTATCACATTAAACCTCTTCTATTCGTGTATAAAAAAATACTTGTTATTGTTAATTTGTTATTGTTGCACTGGAAAAAAATTTATTTGGTTTCAATAATCGGTTACTTAACTATTATGAAATAAATATTAATTTGTATCAAATAAATATTTATTTGTATCAAATAATTATTATTTGTAACAAATAAATATTTTCATTTGTAACAAATAAATATTTATTTGTATCCAATAAATATTTACTTGTATCAAACAAATATTTACTTGTAACAAACAAATATTTACTTGTATCAAATAAATATTATTTGAAATATTTGTATTAAAAAAACAAAAATTATTTTTCCAAATACAGTTTATTTAATTCAAATAAAAATTTTTTGATTCAAGTAAACATTTATTTGACAATAGTTAAATAACCGATTACTTGAATCAAATAAATTTTTTTTTTCAGTGTAAAAATAAGACTCTAAACAGTTCCGAATTGTTAAAATTACAACAAAAAAATACCTTTGTTATAAAAAATAATTTTATACTAAAAACAAAATTTCTAAAAAACAGAAATTTGATTTCGCAAAATTAATTTTGAGAAAAAAAATATTTCTTTTAAAAAAATAATCGCAAGGAGAATAAAAATAGAAATTAACAAAAAATTCTAATTAAAAAAGGCATAGTAAAAAACACCCGTTAGATTTTGCAGAAGGCTAGTACCTATATATATAGATATATGTATATATAAGCAGAAAGCCAGAAGCAAAAGCAGCGGCAAAACCGGCATGCGAAAATTCACCAATCAGGTGCATTGTAAGGAGGGGTACCACGTGGTGCCAATGGGGACCAATGGGGCATTGGGCGCTCGCAAATTTCACAAGTGAGACTCCACATTTTCTCTCTCTCCCTCTTTCTTATATGTCGCTCGGTACATACAGTGAATGCAAATAAAAAAAAAAAAAAAAAAAACAAAAAAAAAATATATAGAAGACGAAGAAACGAGTTTGCATCGCATCGCGGCGTCGTCCCGAAGAAGCCCGGACAACGTCGAGAGTCAGCCGTGCTTTGGCCAGAAGAGCCGAAGGAAGGAAAGGAGAGAGAGTGCGTGAGAGTGCCCCCTTGGATCAAGCAGTCTGCGAAAAAATTTTTTCTTTTTTGACATTCAAGGAAAAATCAAGAGCTGCCAACCCCGTTCGAAAAGGAAAAATTTTTCAACAATAAAGGAAAAGAAAAAAGAAAAAAAAAAAGAAACACCTGTGACAAGAAAAAGGAAAATCAACAAATTGTGTGCGCGTCAACTTTTTTATTTTTATTTTTTTTTTTAATTAAATAAAGTTGACTTAAATTTTGTGCAAAAATTTTTTTTTTTACAGAAATCAAAAAAAAGTGGATTTTTTTTGTCAAGAAAAACAGTTGATATCGTTTTTCTGTTACTGCCAACTTCACTCGTGACAGTTTTCATTTTGAGTTGAGCATTTTTTTTTTCGTCGGTGATAAAAAAAAAATTAGTATTTCCGGTCACGCGTTCTCGTGGTGCGAGTGCGATAAGAGAATAATTAAAAAAAAAAAAAAAACGGTGATTTTGGAAACGGGTAATTTTTTTTTTTTTTTTGCCTTTTTGATATAAAATCAAGCACCATTGCCGCGTTAAAAATTGAGCAGGGCATGATGTCAAAGCTTTACGTGGGCAATTTGCCAGCGGATTGCAATGAAGCAGCCCTGAGACAACTTTTTCAAGAACACAGCCTCTCGTGTACCACAATTCTTGTCAAACGTGGAGGTTATGCATTTGTTGATTGCGTTGATCAATCCACGGCCGATCGGGCCATCGACAAATTGAATGGTGAGTCCTGGTTTTTTTGAAAAAAAAAAAAAACAAAAAATCCCAGGAAATAAAAAAAAAATGCTTCGCCAGCTTCCTTTTTTTTGCAGCTTTTTTTTTAAATAAATGCTTATTTTTTTGTTTGTTGCTTTATTGAAAAATAAATAAAAGAAAAAAAAAATGAAAAACGAAAATGCTTTCGCACATGCTTTTTGCCATACATGCTTTATATGCCTTTTTCCTCCATTTTCCTGTTTTTGGCTTCGTTTTTTTTTTGTTGAAAACAGCGCATTTTTAATTTTTTGCTTGCATCTTTAGATATACTGAAATAAAAATTTATTTGATCCAAACACTCGATTACTTGAGTATTATCAAATAAATATTTACTTGTATCAAATACATATTTACTTGTATCAAATAAATATTTTTTTGTATCAAATTAATATTTACTTGTATCAAATAAAAATTTACTTGTATCAAATAAATATTTACTAGTAGCAAATAAATATTTATTTGTATCAAATAAAAATTTACTTGTATCAAATAAATATTTACTTGTATCAAATAAAAATTTACTTGTATCAAATAAATATTTACTGGTATCAAATAAATATTTACTAGTATCAAATAAATATTTTTTTTATCAAATAAATATTTACTTGTATCAAATAAATATTTACTTGTATTAAATAAAAATTTACTTGTATCAAATAAATATTTACTGGTATCAAATAAATATTTACTAGTATCAAATAAATATTTACTAGTATCAAATAATTATTTTTTTTAACAAATAAATATTTACTTGTATCAAATAAATATTTACTGGTAGCAAATAAATATTTACTAGTATCAAATAAATATTTTTTTTATCAAATAAATATTTACTTGTATCAAATAATAATAATAATTTGAGATGATATTTGTTTCAAATACAGAAAATATTGTTTCAAATACAATTTATTTAATTCAAATAAAAAATTATTTGATTCAAGTAAATATTTATTTGATAATACTTAAGTAATCGAATATTTGAATCAAATAAATTTTTTTTTCAGTATACGCTATATAGAAAATTTTATATTTTTGAAAAAGAAAATTTGCTTTTTCGTTAATTTATTGACATTGACGAATTACTCAGTAAAATTTTTTTACTTTCCATTTTATATGGGAAATTTGTGAAAAATTACTAATTTTTTAATTAATTAATAATTAACTAAATTAATAGAAATTTTTTTTCTGAATTTGTTATTTTTTTGGTTATTTCAGTTTTGAAGAATATTGCTCACTGAAATTGGTAAAAATTCTGCTATTGCATATTTATTAAAATTTTATTCATTAAATAGGAAATAAATAAATAAATTTCTTAAAATATATAAATAAAAGTAATTGTTTAATTTATTTTTAGTTATTTACTTGTGTTATTAAAAATTTTTCTAAATCTTTTCATAAACATTTTTTTATATTAATAAATTAATTTATTTTTGAAAATTAAAGTTATTGGAAAATATTTCGTTTATTTTTATACTTGCTTACTCTCATCAACTTTCACCTAGGTCGGGATTCAGTGAAAAAAAAGGATCTTCAAATTTCAGGCAAAAAGGGAAAAAAAAGTAATTTAATATGCCTGTAAAAAATAAAATTCACTTTCTGTGAATTTTTGCAAAAAACAAATTTGCAAGAAGACAAATTTTTTTATAATTAAATAATTATTTAGAATTTATTTTTACTTGCCTTATATAATTATCATTTGCTTTGCTTATTTGCTTGAATTGCTTTATTTTTAACTATTATATAACAAAAATTATTTTCGCTATTTATATTTATTTTTAATTATTGTAAGTGTGTAAAATATTTAGGAAACTTCAAATTTATTATAATAATTTAATTCGTGCATTAATTGAATATCAAATTTAATAATTAGAATAATCATTTAATTACTGTAATTAATAATTACTATTATTAATTGTTTAAAATTATTTTTTATTATTACTATTATTATTTAATAATTAATAAAAATAATAAATAATAATAATAAGTAAATTTTTTTTTTAAATTGCAAAAATTAATGGTTCAAATAGTTTCATTAATTGAAATAAAAATTATTTGGTTCAAGTAAATATTTATTTCATAATAGTCAAGTAATCGATTATTTGAATCAAATAAATTTTTTTTTTTTCATTGTAATGTAATTAATAATTAATTGATAATTCTAATTAAATAAATTAATATGGAATATTTTAATTAATTAAATTACATTCTTTCCGTAAATTAATTAATCGTTTTAATAGATTAATTTCTTATTAGAATAAATTAATAAAATTAAATATATTTCAATTAAGTAAATTTACTAATGACAAAAATGTTTAATAATCTATATTTTTGAACTATTTTATATATTTTAATTATTTATTATTTATTATTTATTATTTATTACTTAAATAGATTATTTAAATAAAATACTTTTTTTGAATTTGAAAAAATTTAAAACTATAAAAATAGAAAAAACAAACACGATAAAACTATAATGGGAAACAATCTCATTCTAATCACTATATGAAATGAGAACCTCTACAAGTGACCTCGAAAATGCTTCCGCCGAAAAATTGAACAGTTCCTCGTCCCCGCTCGAACGAACATTCTAATCCAAATCTTATAGAATACACTCTTCATCGTCAATATATACATATTTATAATTCCCGCCAAAAAAAATGCATACAGTAAAAAAATAGTTATTTTAAAAAATACTAAAAAAAATAAATTACGTTTTAATTTTTAAAAACAAGTTTATTCGTGAAATTTTGTTTGCATAATGAAATATTTGTGTGAGTGCGTTAATAATGACGCAAAAAGTCGCTGAAAGGCAAAATTAATTACAAAATGTACTCTATTACGATTTAATTATAATATCAAATTTATTTATTTTTTTTTTTTTTTAAATAATTGGTGAAATTTTATTTTATCTATTTTAATGGTGCTGCATTATTAGACACAAAAATTCACGTATTTAGTTTTTTGGAAATTAAAATAAAAAAAAATAAAATAGAAAAATTAAAATTAAAAAAAAAAAAAATTTATTGAATGAAATTTGTAGGATTGCATATGGGGTAAATGTGAACTTGTTAGTCAATCGACGCGCGAAAAGCCCATATCTTCACATGGTGAGAGATTTACGCATGCTTAAAATGGCGGCCCGGCATTTCGACGCCGGCAAGGTCGCGCGTGTTTCGCCTTGTAGATAAGCCTTCTTTTAATCTTTTTCATCGAATATTTAAGGCTAAATGATATGTTTTCACTTTTGAGTTGAAAAAAAGCCTGCAATATTGAAATCGCTTAATAACTATTTTTTTTCGAAAAAATTCATTTTTTTCTGTATTAAAATAATTATATTAATAATTATAATAATTATAATAATTATATTAATAATTATAATAATTATAATAATAATAATTATAATAATTATATTAATAATTATAATAATAATAATTATTATTATAATAATTGCACCTACACCCAGAGAAATGATTTATTTGAACCAAATAAAATATATTTGAGTTAAATAAACGTATATTTGTCTCAGAGCCTACTAACTTATTTATTTGACGTAAATAAAAATTTTATTTGTCAGAAATAAATTTTTCTTTGGCTCAAATAAATTTTTTATTTCAATAAAATAAAATATATTTGCAACAAATAAATGAGTTAGTAGACTCGTAGACAAATATACCATTTCTCTGAGTGTAGAGAAATGTTTTATTTTAACCAAATATAATATATTTATGTTAAATAAATGTATATTTGTCTCACTGCCTAGTAGCCTATTTATTTGGCGTAAATAAATTTTTTTATTCAAATCAAATAAAAATTTATTTAAATCATATATAAAAATTTATTTAAATCAAATAAAAATTCATTTGAATCAAATAAATAGTCAGTTTTTGGAGTTATTAATTAATAATAATTAATATCAATAATAATATTATTTAAAATAGAAAAAGAAATTTGAAAAAAAAAAAAATGTTGAATTAAAGAACGTGAAAAAGTGAGTTTTTTGGAGGGCGCTAATCAGTTAGTCATACTCGTCACGTTTTGCGAATGCCAACCGAGTGAATCCAGGTCATAAATTGCCAAAAGACTTTGTAAGTCATCTTTCGTAGCAACGCATATAACCAAAACTTATTGCCTCTTTTATGGAGACTCATAGCGTATATATAATATATAAAATTTTTGTTCATGGGCAAAAATTGTTGTCGACGTGCGATATTGAACGAGAGAGAGAAAAAAAAAAGTCTTTCAACTTCAAAGGCCACGTTTTCACTTCATCATTACGTGAGGACTCGCGGCGATCGATCTCATCGTTTTCTCTATCAATTATTTTCCCCGTCTTTCATTATGACGCCTCTTCTTCTTTTTTTCATTCGATATAATATACAATTTCATGAGAAAATTTTTTAGTCACGATAAATTAAATTAAATTATAATTTAAAAAATTTTTTTAAAAAATTTAAAAATTGAAATTAATTTCAATTTTTGCTTTATATATTTTACTAATTTAGATTGTATTTTTGAAATTTTTATTTTATATTTTAGTAATTTCAATTTTACTATTTAATTTTTTACATTAATTTTACTAATTTAAATTTTTCTACTTAAATTTTTACTATGTATTTTACTATTTAAATTTTTACTTTATATTTTACTAATTTAAAGTTTACTATTTAATTTTTTACTTTAATTTTACTATTTAAATTTTTACTATATATTTTACTATTTCCTTTTTTAGTTTATATTTTACTAATTTAAAATTTACTATTTAATTTTTTACTTTGATTTTTTTATTTGTTTATTAATTAATTCCATAAAAAACGTGTTAATGGAATATTATTTTAAGACGAAAAATTGACTTACAGTGTAGGAGTTTGATTATTGTCTAAAAAAGGATTACTCATCGATATCGTGACTGATTCGATTCTTTGATTCGAGAACAAGTTCCCTTTGTTGAAAAAATAATAACCAAATAT